TTCCCATGCAATTCAACTACCCTGAAGATGGATGCGATATGTTCCTCCGAAACTTCGGTTAAAACTAAGAATACATGGCGCCAGATCCCAGAAGACGACTTTCTTCATAGTCACCGCCGTGAAAACCTCAAAACTTACATATTACGTGGTATATTTGTCTTCATTTTATATTGGTGTTGAAGCAAATTCATTCGGCAGTTTTCAGAATAACAAACGTTATTTGAAACGCTATTTTTTTCTGAATTCTGACGGTGATATGGTCTTGCAGAAAACTTATTTGTGCTGCTTCCAATTGTCCCTTTCCTTCAATACTCAGGCCTGCATACGAGTATAATACCTCATGTTTGCCTTTGCTCTGCTAAGCTTATTAAAGCTTTTTATTTTTGTATCTTATAATATTTGTTTGCCTGTTACAATAGCCTCGAGGTCTATGGCTTGACTTGCCTTCGCTCGCTCCAAAGCTGGGATCGTGGGTTCAAATCCCACTCAGGGCATGGATGTCTGTGAGCCTTTATTTTGTGTTTAGGTAGTGGCCTTCCGTCGGGCTGATCACTCGTCCAAGGGGTACTACCGTCTGTGAAAAATGATTACGGAACTGAATAAGAGGCCAGGGCCCTGAATGGGCTGGAAGAGCAGTTGAAAAAAAAAATTTGTGTAGCACAATTTCTCATAAGGATTTTAAAAATTCAATTTATTTTATTTTATCCTGATGAGTTCAGCCTTCTCCTAATTTCCGTATGAATTTAATCTCTCATTATTATACACACTATCTAAAATCCCAAATATTTTAAATGGTTTATTTCATTTTGTTGAAGATTTTGTTTCTTATACAAGGAGCTGATTGTGTGCAGTAACTGTAATGATTATGTCTGTCATGTTATTGTACTTTCGGTTCTGATGTATGTGCAGACTACAGAGAACACACACGTGACTGGAGGTTGCCTTCCACGTCCCGTCCCCTTCAACGACCCACACAATCTATGGACCCAATGTGCTCCACGTTTGAACTAGTCTGAGAAGCGAGGAGTACTATGAAGCATTTCCGATAACACTACCTCAGAGTTCCAAGAAACAATCAAAATTACTACACAGACTGCAGTTATGTTTCTAAGCAGATTACCGCGATACATGATACGGTCCCCTGCAGATATTCAAGTTCATGAAGGCTGATTCTCAACGGTTCTTCCTGGCTTTCATACACTTGATTAAATTATGGGCAGATTAATGTGGGAACATGCTTGCTAAAATTATCTCTGATCTTTTATCTCCCAATCTTTCTCTGAATATATATAACTGAAATACAGCAAAAAATAATCCTACTCTCTTACACACAGAACAAAATTGAAAGCGTCCGACACAAATATATGATTTTAAGAGAGATGAACAAAAAATGTGGTCTAGAGAAAAATACCTAATGATGTTCTTCAGCTAATATTCCAAAGGAAATTAAATCGAGAATGAAGATACAGTAGAGATGTAGAGCATGGAAATCTACCTATATAGAATTACATAGAAACAACTCATAATATAAACAATAAATTCAGGATAACACTTCTTTTCCTTCGAACGTTTATTACACGACTATACAATTTAGTAAACTATTCTTGAGCATAATATTAACTACAAGAGATTCCGGCTGAAATGAAAATTGTCAAAAACATAATTACATTTTTAATATATGAAGTACAAGATTCGTAGCTTATCCAGCCAATTTTATCCCACTTCTGACACCAGTTGCGACAGGATAGTGTGATTGTAGATGGGGTCTGAATCGGCAGTCACGTTAGCTCATGACTACACTTCACAGTTCACTATCGCTCATGTTCCTTAGCAGTGGCTTCCAGTGGCAGACGTTCCTATGATTCCGGGTTCACGTCCTTACAGGGTGGCGACCATCTCACACCAGCCTCATACTCTGGCCGCTAGCTATTAAGCTGCTAACTCCCGGTCTGGACTGACTTACAACTTCAAACCTCCAAATTCAGCTATCAATTCTCGACTGACTGACTCACCTCAACTCAAATCAAAGTCAAAGTCACACTGCGACTGACGATCAGTCAGTCAGTAAGTCTTGGCCAGATATTATTTATTACCGTTTGACAGTTACGGTCTTGTTTCTGTGGGGCGCCTTCTCTGACGAGAGGACGGGTCTGTCTTTTGTATATGCTGCTGGCCCTTGCCAGCGCAGTCTTTCTCGGGTCCGAGTCCCTTGGGACTCGCGACCATATTTTACTGTCTCAGATCTGAGACTTCCCTTTTCGTCGCAACCTACGACTCGCAGGGTCACGGTGGAGGTATTTGACCCCACTTCCACACGGGGTTTCACTTCAACTGAACTACTAGTCCTCGTTATATAGCCCCAGTACGGACCGCACAGAAAACTTCTCTTCCATTATTGCGTGTTCTCTCGTTACCTGGGAAATAACGTGTCCACAGACCTGTTCCCTAGCAACGATTGATGTACTGTCGCCTGTTTACACAGCTGTTCCTTGGCAATGGGTCTATACGTCACAGTATGTTAAAGCAGGTAGTGCATATGAAACTACTGGGCTTTAAGGGGTTAAGGTACCACATTTTTACGAAAATCAAAAACAAAGCATGGCCACCGGGGCAAATATATTATTTTGGTTTGATGAAAATAAAGCACTAATAATTATAACATTATATGTTACAAACATATTTTATATATTTAGGTCATGGAAAAAAGTCCGATGGATGGACGCCTTCAAATCTCCCTCGAATTGGTGGCTTCTCCCTCCAGCACACTGAACTATATTCCCCTCCAGTCGAACAGTCATTCTATTCAGAGAAATACTAATAGCGACAAGAAAGTGAAAACCTTCGCTAGAGACAAGGCTATGGATTAAATGGGAATTGCACAGCATTCAGAAGACCTTCGAGGGCTGTCATTCCCTGCATTTAAGAGACTTCTTTCCGTGGTCCCAGTATAGCCCTGCCTCTTTATAGCCTTATTCCCCTTTATTTAACAGGTTTGCAAGATCCTACACCAGAAAAGCTGGAAGTTCCGCACCTTCACAGGATATGGCAGGGTATAAAATATGGGGAAATGTGTGTTATCCGACAGGGATCCGAAATCGTTATTGCTCTGTTAGAGCGATCTAAGCCAGTGCGTGTGCTAGCCAACAGGGTCACTGGGATCGATATCTGTTCGTATTAAAGTCAAAAATGGGTAATTCTTACTAAACCCTAAAACTCAAAATATTAGAAACGTTATTAACTAAATGTTAAAGAGCCTTTCTTGAGTAATTATCATCCGGCCTGTCCACAAATTCAGTGTAACAATGGAACCCGAAAGTTCATGATGTACTCGCAACTAGAACATATCTGAAGAATTCAGTCCACAGCTTGAGGAACCATATTACCACACCATCTATGCCTAAGACTCCAAAGGGTTATCATCCCTTGAGACTTATAAATAAAACCTTTCACATAGTAATCATTAAACCATGCTACACGACCATACTCCCACGCCCTTTTCACGTTTTCATGCGTTGCTATTGTTATTAAGTGCTTTTGCAAGGCACTGGAGAAAATGAACTATTCTAACACTTCTTTTACGTTATACACAGGATATTATCTTACATGTGCGCATAAGGCATTCTGCAACCTACAACACAAACACTAATGAGGCGCTAAACACATTCAGAGCACGCTCCATCACACTCCTGAGATCTACGTCAGTTCACCTCGACAAGAAGCATGGAGCTGGTGCCACACGATCCGCTCAGGTACGTCAACTCATCATTTTTAAACCAGAAATTGATCTAAGTAATGTTCAGAAATTCATTTCCTCTCACCGAGAATTCGATGCATAAATACAAAACGGCTGAAGTTATACAAGGAAATAGTAGCTGCTTATTAAGTTAATGGAAAGAAATTCGCTAGACAAAGTACAGAACTTCATATTAAAACAGGTGGTGCATATATTTAAGTATATGCTTTAAAAGGTGAATTAACTTTAAGGTTACAATCTATATCCATTACAATCCTCGGAAGGTTACATTTTTACATATTAAAGTAACTGTACGATACTGGTTACTGACAAGTAAACCTAATACCTCTGTTTTGCAATATAATCTCCATTTAAGGGTATAACGGAGCTACCACATAAATTCTTTAATATTTTAATAATCAATATGTAAGATTTGAGCCTTTCACGGCGGTGACTATGAAGAAAGCAGTCTTCTGGGATTTGGCACCGTGTATATGTGNTATGTACTTTCATTTCTTAAGCCTGGGATACATAATTACAACTGGGTGCTGAAGAAAATACCTGGATCTACGAGTGAAACAAGTGGACGTTTTAGGATCATACAACACGTGGAATTTCGTGACTTATACACATCACCTATTAGTGTCATGATCATGAAACGTAGGCAGTTACGGTAGGATGAACTATAGCTCAGAAAGAGAAGATACACAATTTTGAAAGAAAGATCTTGTGAGAAGCAACCACTCTTAAGACCGCAAAGGAGAAGGGAGGATAATATTAAAACGTATCTTAAAAAAACAAATTTATATATGAAATAAACAAACTTTCACAGTTGCTAAAGATATAACACACCAAGGAATTTACTTAGAAACCAATTACTCCAAAGTGGATAAACAACTTGTAATTCGAATATGGATCAAACAGTATCTTCCTCCATCACAATATTATTCCCTCTTTTCCACGCTGTTTACTGCATTTCTATGTATGTATTCGTGCGATTGCTTCATCATATTTGCCTTCAATTACAACTTGAGATATCAGCATATGTCAACACAAGATTCTAGTTACTTTCACGCATTGGAACCACTTTTAGGGACTTAATATACGCAGAACTGGGTAGGACGCGACGTACTGCCACAGCAAGGATACATACAAAGATATTTACAACTTTATATTTACATTATGTATTTGGTATGACATTGGATGAAGAAAATACATACCACAACGAGAATCCACATTCGGTAAAATTTATATGCATATACGAGTATGTGAGAAATGAAGAGGTGTTAATTAGAGTCAGTGAGTAGAGGAATATCCTACATGAAATAAGAAAACGGAAGGCTAATTGGATTGGTCATGTTTTACGCAGAAACTGCCTTCTAAAAGAAGTTATTGAAGGAAAGATAGATGGGCGGATAGAAGTGACAAGAAGACGAGGAAGAAGACGTAAGAAGATGCTGGATGACCTTGAGGACAGAAGAGGATACTGTCATTTGAAGGAGAAAGCTCTAGATCGCATTAAGTGGAGGAATTGTTTTGGAAGAGACTGTGGACCTGTCGTCTTGACAGATTACTGATGATGATGATGATGATGATGATTATACGAGTATACGTCACCGCAAGCTTTCTGATGACACATACTGGAAAGTATTTTCGATAAGAAAATGTTACTGGGTCAATCGTTTCATAATCATATAGCCCTTAATTGAAACTCGGTTATTACTCTTCGTAAACGTTCATGCTTTATATCCATAAGTTCCCTTAACTTCATTATTCCCTCGATTAAGAACTTCAGAATTTGTACTCTTCCAAAAAAAAAAAAAGACGAGTCCATTAGTCAAGGAGGATGAACTGAGTGGTACATGTAGCAAGAACAGGCACACTGAGAAAGCGTACCAAATTGTAACCGGGTAACCTCCATGCAGAAAACATCAGCGTATATGGGAGTAAAATCTTCGAAAAATCGTTCATAAACATGATTATTGGATTTAGTTGGCTCAGGATAGAGCCCAGTGGCTGGCTCTTTTGAATGCAGTAATGAACCATCGGGTCCCATGGAAGGTGAATAAGCAGAAATTTTCGATCAAGTTCCTGAACCATGGAATTATTTCATAAACTTGTCACGGGTTGTGTACTTTGAACAACAAAGGTAAATTTTGATCCATTTCATTTAATACATTAAAATCCGTGTGAGTTCGTCCCTAGTTGGTCCAAACATTCTTCTCAGAATTATGTTCTCAAAACTCCTCAATCTATTACAGTACAAAACGTTATGAGATTATGAACTGCACATAAGCCAATAAGCAGCCAGATAATAGCCTTGTGAATTAATTACAGAGGTGTGAATGGACAATATTAGAGTCAATAGCATCAGACTGGCAAAGTACAGGCGGGTGCATACAGAAGCAGTATAAACAAGAGAGGACATGGTATGGATGTCAGACAATAAAATCCTGTACTGATACACATAGGCCTATAAAAGGAAAGAACAGAACAGTGTTATAGCGATTAGTAATCCTATTTCACGTTTGAGAAATTATGGGTTAGAATCTCGGCACCGTGACCGACTATTCTACCGAAATATTTAGTATCCTTCCTCACGCCCTCTAGGTAAACAGTATATAACACCTTAAGATATGCTACGCATTTACCTGATTCGTTATTTTCTCCTGAAAATATCGAAAATAAATGAATACCAAAATAATAAAGTATCCAATTTTTCATATAAGAAATACATAGACTGTCAACACTCTACCATCAAAGCATGCTCGGAGACAGTAACAAACTACTTGTAGAAATTAGCAACCCACAAAATGTAAAAAGAAGATTGAGGAGACAGTAGCTGTCTGACCTACCACAACACGCAAATGACGAAGATTAAAACCATCACAATGCCTCCAAAGGGCCTGTCAGAGTATCATCAGTGGATGACTTCTCTACTCAAGACAACTGCTTAGAACAAATTGACTTACTACTCCATAATATCGAGAGTAGATTGTAAATGTGCTATTAATTAAATAAAAATATAGTAATAAACAGAAAATGAGATCCACTCAGATCTACAGGCGTGGTCAATTCAGCTCAAAAAGATTCAGGCATCATATAGCCTACAAGAACTCGGAAAACAAAGGTCGGCAACGCAACATCTATGCTTGATACTAAACCAAAGACATGGAACGGAATGGCCATAAGCACAACTGGCAGCGACGGGGAAACGGGTTATGCAGAACGAAACCGGAGAACGTATGCAAATCTGAGTTTTGGGCGGATTCTTTGAATACATCTCCAATAGGATAAAGTCCAATGGCAGTCTCCAATGAACACTAAAATGGAACTTCGAGCAGTAAAAATACTGAGAATTACTAGACAAGCTATGAGTAATATACAATTAGTTTCCCGAGAAGTATTCTACATGGTGATGTAAGAAGGCGAATAAAATTGTTCTTATAATAAAGTGTGGTAAAACGGCATATAACAAGTACGAATCAGAGTAAATGAAGCTGAAAACAGGCTGCCATATTTGGATTTTACCTCCTACATGGGCCGTTACATTAGAGGATGAACTAACAATGAAGCTGGAGATAACAATCAAATTCCTTCCGTCAAATGTGACACTTTTTTATGTTTNAGAGGATGAACTAACAATGAAGCTGGAGATAGGCTGCCATATTTGGATTTTACCTCTTACATAGGCCGTCAAATTGGAGGATAAAATAACAATGAAGCTGAAGACAGGCTGCCATATTTGGATTTTACCTCCTACATGGACCGTTACATTGGAGGATGAACTAATACTGATAGCAGAATACGAAGATCCAACACTGCTAATATCAAAGTCACCCACTGGGTACGATCTTGGGGCAGTCTGATCCGGTTCTCATCTAATGAAGCAACATCGTTACCATTCTCTCAACCCTTCGTTTGTCTAAATTTCATTTTCGTAACTGACCTTTCATTCATACACGACAGCATATTCTCAGATATGCTGTATATCTACTACAAATCAACTTTACTATAACATAATTTATAATTCTAATCTTCTGAGAATTAAATAGCAAATAGGTTTGCATTTGTCACGGTGTTAGCGTTTCAGGCCTGTTTATTAAATGGAGGTTGAGTCACTTCGAAATATTACAGATTAGAATTAGAAGGAACAGGTTGGTTGGTCCATAATCTCTAGTAAAATCCATAAAATTCTTCGAAAGTCATTAGAGAAAAGTTAACAAAATATTAGATCAGTCCCGATGCATACTGAAGAATAAATTTAAATCTTCGTCAAGTGTAGAAAGAAGCCAGAAAACAAGAGAAACGCCTCGAGAGGGACAAGTCGAATTGATAAATAAACCGTTCATTTGTTATTTTTTTACTTACGGACACTTGAAACGATTCCATGGACAGCTCAACCAATAGAGCGACCGAAGCAATTGCCGGCAGGTCCACCCAACCTCACACCCGATAAGAACATGATAGTTTTGGTGATTAAAGTTCATCAAACTTCTCCAACGAGTTTCGAATCCAGGGAACCTTACTTCTCTGCTCCCTACCCGTCTTCATGGCTTGGTACTTTGAATTAGGTGCAACTTACATCAAATTTTCCCAACGGCATGGGTTCTGTACGTAGATTGGAAGAGGCTGTGAGCTGGGAAAGAAGAGATCGAGGTGTTTTAAATTTTATCACACCGCTTGCCTGAAGGGACTCAACAAACCCATGAATAAACTCAGTAGGCCTATATATTCGTACCATTATCAAACCCGGAAACTTCCGGATTGAAAGCGGAAGAACTAGAACTTCATATACTAAAAGAAATTACTGCGTCACGGCTCACTGTGAAGGCTCAGAGAAATTAGGACGAGATGGAATTCGTAGAAGGCATGCTACCCTTCAACTGAGAATCTTCTGTCTACTTGTTTGCTAAGCAGAAAAGCAAAGAATAAAATACAGAGAACTATAATTTTGCCTGTAGTTCTGTATGGGTACGAAATTCTGTCGCTAATAATAAGGGAGAAATACAGGTT